GGCTGTGGGAAGGGCGGTCGTAGCCGTTTCTGTCGGCCAGGACGTGTTTTGCTAAGGGGCTTTTCGAATTTAGAAACAAAAACCTAGATTTTTCTTCAAAAAACGACGTAAGCGTGTGAAAACGCTTCGGTCTGGGCTACGGGAGGGCTGGGAGAGGAAACCGCCGCTGTGCGAGCAGCGATGCGGCTTTTCCGTAGGGGGACAGGCCGAGGTGGCCACCGCGCTGCTGGGAGAACAGCTTTCATCCAAATGTAAGATACATGTACAGCCTTTTGATTACTTGTTCTGATTCACCTCCTGCTTTTTCTTTCCAGCCGAGTTTGTGATAAGTCTTGCTGAAAAAAATACCACGTTTGACACGTTTAAAGCAGTTCTTCTTAAGAATGGTGCTGAGTTCACTGTGAGTAGATCCAAACGTTTATTTACACGGTCTTCTTGTCCTGGTATGTTTTATAGAGCTTTTTGTTTTAAGGAGGAGTGTGAGAAGTGATTATTGGTTTTCTTCAACTGAGAAACTAGTCACTAATTAGCTTTTGAGTTTTCTTGTCTCATCAAGCCAAGCTTTTCCCTTCTTTTCTTTAAACTTTCGTAGTCTTTGTGAAGCATCATTCTGATTTCTTGAACTGCTTATTGTCTTGTTAAGCATATAAAATATGGAAGAAACAATTTTTCACGAAGGCAGGTGATGTTGTAAGTCTTCGTTTGATACTTAAAGGCTGAGTTCGTGAGTTCCTCATAAATAACTTGTTGGATTAAGTAGATGATTAAAAATGAAAAGTCAAAAAGTAGAAAAGTCAGTTCAATTGAATTATCATAACTATTTTCAGATTCAACTTAACCTGTCTTTTTAGGTTGTACATAAAGTCCAGCAATACTTTCTAAAAATGAACTTCCATCTTCAGAATTGAGCTTTATTTTCTCCTGCTAATAACCCCTCACTTATGCCTTGTAATAATGAAAATCAGTGTTACAGTCATTTCTTAAATTATTTTATTAAACTTTTCAGGATTCCCTTATTAGTAACTTGCTACGTCTCATACAGACAATGCGGCCTCCACCAAAACCATCTACGAGCAAAGGTAAGCATAATCTTAACCCTTTTATCAGATCAATGTAAAAAGAAAAACAAAAGCCCAGAACATCTCCAACCCACAAAGCTCTTAGTCTTTGATAGTTTTGGGTCACGTTTGGTGAAATTGGTGCAGTTATTGTGCAGGGCTCATAAGGCCAGACTGTGTCTTATGGTTGCAGTAGGAGTCTCTCTGTTGTTAGCAGTAGATTAGCAGAGCTGTTTGGGCACTGAAAACATCCTGAGTACACTATTTAGAGTATTTACGTGTTTCGCAGATTCAGTAACAACCAGGATTTTATTTTTGGAAAGATAATGTAGTAATCTGTGAACCGAAGCTCTGTAAAGTCTGTATCAACCTTTGTGTTCAGGTGGAAGTTAAACTTTACATTCAGTTACAGAAAAATCAAGAGTGAATCGTCCTAGCTCTTCTAATTTTTATTGTTTGGTTTGTTTAATTTTTATTTTAAATCTTAAAATCAGAGACAGTTGTCAAACCCAAATCGGAGAAGGAAAAGTTGAAGGAGTTGTTTCCAGCCCTTTGCAGGCCAGACAATCCCAACATCAGGGTAAGATCTTAATTTCAGATTTCTTTTGTGAATGTGTGAAAACTCTTTTTTTCCTTTTTTTTTCCTTCCCTGTTTACCTTCATTTCAAGCTTTTTTTCCATGTTAATGTGTTTCCTGCTAATGCACAGATAAAAGTGACTATGAGAAATTAAATACAAAAAAAAAGAAGGCTGGTTTTAGTACCTTTAGTTATCATGAATAGCTGTTACAGCGATTGCCATGAAGCTGTTTTGTAGAATACCTGGAAGCTGAGGCTCTCGTGACATGAAATTTGTAGCCTGGCCTTTCTTACATGATACTCAAAGTAATGATGGTAATAGTAATAGATAAAAATTGTGGACATTCAGATTCTATGAGGGTCATGTATTTTATATTTCTGCAATAACTTGAGGCATTGAGATGAAGCTGTCTCTTGTATAAAGGCAGAATTGTCTCAGTGTTGTGGCAAAACAGCAGGATAGCGTTATTCTCTTTTTTCCCCCCATATTCACGTATTCTGTCTGATCTTTTTAAAATCTTGCATATCTGTTTATAAGGAATGTATGTGATTTTCCTTTCTGTAGATTAATTCTCTATGACTGACTGCAGCCTTCTTACAGAATAATTCTCTGTTCTTGCAGAATATGCTGGATGAAGATGATGTGAAGGTGGCAGCTGATGCACTTAAAGAGCTTGAAGCTCTGATGCCCAGTGCAGACAGGCAAGGCAGGCAAAGGAGCAGCGACCACCGGTAGGTATCTGGTGTGTCTTTGTGGGGTGGGTGTTGGCAGTTGTTTTTGCCTGCTCGCTCTTCCTATGTGGAATTTCATTGCAATTATGTAATGCTTGTTTGTTAGGGCAAAGAAAAAGAGAAAGAGCCGCAGTCGTAGCAGAGACAGGAAACGAAGGCACAGATCTCGCTCCAGGTCTCGTTCTAGGACACGGGATAAGAACAGGGGAAAATCCAGATACCGGTCAAGGAGCAGAAGTGGGAGTCCCAGTAGGGACCGTAAGGATCGAGAGAAGTACATGGAGAAGAGCAGTGAGAGATGGAGAGACAAGCACATAGACCGTCCACCGCCAGAGGAGCCTTCCATTGGAGACATTTACAATGGCAAAGTCACAAGTATAATGCAGTTTGGATGCTTTGTGCAGCTAGAAGGACTGAGGTACCTCCAAATGGTCACAATAAGTCTGTATTGTTCTCTTTTCTGCTAGTATCCTAACAAGTTATGAGGCTACAATAACGTATGCTGGATTTTGATGCCACAATGACGATCTGTTTCAGAAAAACAAATTTGACATCGGAGAATGTTCTTCTGATAAAAACCAGTTTATGAACGTACACAAATAATTAGTTGGTAACAAAATATTTTAATCCAGACTCTGAATGATCTGAAGAACTGTCAGAGTAATAATGTGCAACATCTCATGCCCCTCTGTTCGTTTCACCTACAGGAAGCGTTGGGAGGGCTTGGTCCATATCTCGGAGCTTCGAAGAGAAGGACGGGTTGCCAATGTTGCTGATGTTGTGAGCAAAGGACAAAGAGTAAAAGTCAAAGTGTTGTCCTTTACTGGATCCAAAACCAGCCTGAGCATGAAGGTATGGAAGGTTCTGTAGTGCTTGTACTAGAGTTTGTGGTGCCAGAATTTTTAAAGATTGTGCCTTTTTGCTGTTTTTTGTACACTTCTTGATGAAAAGTAAAACATGACCCCTCAAGTAGAAGTTTAACAAATTGAGTTACTGTTCTGTGTTTAAGTGGCCTATTACTTTTTACTCATTTTCTGTACATTCTTGTTTTTGTTGTAATGTTCCTAAGAGTTTTTTGACTTAACATGTTAACTAAGTGACAAGGCAAACCTCAGGCTATTGCTATGTTTGTCTCCTTTTTTCAGTATGAGAGAAGCATTTCATTTTAAAGGAAATCACTGCCATTGCCAAGGCAGAGTAGAGTGTTCCAGGCCTTGGGGTGTACTTACCTCACAATACCAGCTGAAAAAAAGCATGCAAAATACCATTTTCTGTGAATGGGCTGTTGTTGCCAGTAGTCTCTCTGAGAGATGTACTCTGCTTTAGAGGAAACGCCAGTGTTGATTGGGAGAAATGCAGTATAGGTTGAGCTGATTGATCGATTAATTGATCTAATGTAGGATGTTGATCAAGACACTGGGGAAGACCTGAACCCGAACCGGAGGAGAAACCTGATTGGAGAAACCAATGAAGAAACCTCTATGAGAAATCCAGACAGGCCCAGTCACCTGTCCCTGGTGAATGCCCCAGAGGTGGAGGATGATAGTTTGGAACGAAAACGCCTCACCCGCATTTCAGACCCAGAGAAATGGGAAATTAAACAGGTGTGTGTTGTATTCAGGTAAATAGAGTGTCAGTCAGTAAAATTATTAGGGAGTTTCATGAACTAGAAAACGGCTCCTTGATTGTTTGTGTAACTTATTCCTTCCCTCTAAATTGCTGTTTTCTTGTGGTTTGGGACTTCTAGCTTATTTCTGACTATGAAGTTAGCCCTGCTTTGAGCTAGAGGTTGGACCAGGTAACCTCCAGGTACCACTCTGACCTGGGGGATTGTGAGCTTATCCAGTGACACTTAGATGGTATTTGATTATCAGAGCAGTCCTGCCATGCATAAGCCAGCTGTCTCTCACTGATGGTATTTAGAATAACAAGAGGACTATTCGATCGGAGACTGTATGACCTGGGGAGACATGTGTCTGAATGTGGGACCATTCCTTTGTTCTGAAATCACAACATTCCTCGTCCCTGTTTTACAAGTCTGTCAACAGCATTAGAACTGAGACCTGGTGGATGTGAGTTGTGTTTGTTCATGGGGACGAATTCACGTTGTGTTCATTGTGTTCCCAGATGATCGCAGCTAATGTGCTTTCCAAAGAAGAGTTTCCCGACTTTGATGAGGAGACTGGGATCCTTCCTAAAGTTGATGATGAAGAAGGTAATATTTCTAAGTAGTCTTTTTGTTGTTGTAAATTCCTTGTGTTTCTGGACGTGTTTAGATTCAAGAAGAGATGGTGATGTAAGTGAAGCATCTCACAGTTTGCTGTCATCTTAAATGTTTGGAAATAGGGTTGCGCTACCCTTATTGTCAGTAGGATTTGGATGTGCCCTGTTTGTGCATTCTATTTATTTGTCATGTTTTCACTTTTAAAACTAATAACATAATGATCAAGAATACACAGGAAGCACCATCCTTTTATGTACCTGAAAGATAATGTTTAACTTTTCTGTAAAAATTGTCACTTGTGGATTTTAGATGAGGACCTTGAGATTGAGTTAGTTGAAGAAGAGCCGCCGTTCCTTCGAGGTCATACTAAACAGAGCATGGATATGAGTCCCATCAAAATAGTAAAGGTAAGAGATTTCCAGAACTAAAACCAATTTATTTGATTTAATTAAATGTTTGGGAATTTTACAAACAGTTTTCCACGTGGACATTACTGAGAGCCCTGAAAAACATTACTACTGAATTGAGGATCCATTCTTTACTTATAAAATTGGTTTCTTACTTAACTGGTGACAATGAAGTGGAATAATAGAGCTGAAATGCACATTAGCCTGCAGCAGCAACCATTTCACATAAGTATGTCAGAACATACTTTCTCTGTTCTGCTTTTTCTTACCTTTTGAAAGTAGAAGATCTTAGAGAAATACTTATTTTTCATTGCTTGTGCCTGTAATCCTCGTGACTGGACAATGTAGGGATGCTCCATATTAGTCATGACCATGTCAGATCATGAGGCTGGGCTAATGGAAGTATCCTGCATCTCAAATAGATAAAAAGTTAACATCTTTTAAAGCATCTTCAGAAGAGGCTCCTAGAGTGGACAGTGGTGACAGATATAATTGAAGTTGAAGGACTGGAGTGTGCTTGATATCTTAACTTTTTTCTTGCTTTCCAGAATCCAGATGGTTCCTTGTCCCAGGCTGCAATGATGCAGAGTGCTTTAGCTAAAGAAAGACGAGAACTTAAACAGGCCCAGAGAGAAGCAGAGATGGATTCTATTCCCATGGGACTCAACACGCACTGGGTGGATCCTCTCCCTGATGGTATGTCTGAACACATCTAAGTGTTAACTGTGACTTTTTTGTGATAGTTGAGCAACTCAGGAGAAATGTCTTACTATTGTGTTTGTCTGCCTCGCTTTAAAAGCAAGGCAGAGAAGAGATGCTTTTCCACTGAGGTGGAAATGGGTATGTCAGGGGGAATGTACAGCTGTATCCTGCTGTCCACCAAGTATGTATTACTAAAAGGTGTGATGGATGGTGAAGCCATTTTTAACAGGTAAAGTAGTGTAATAGTGGGGGTATACACATAGGAACTTAAAAAATCCTTAAACACTTAAGTATAGCAGGCATGGATGATGGAGCAGTAGGAACAGGATCATCAGGGTCTGTGCTGTGTGAACCTAAAAACAATGGTGAAATTGTTTATTTCCTAGTGGATGGAAGACAAATAGCTGCAAACATGCGAGGTATTGGGATGATGCCCAATGATATCCCAGAGTGGAAGAAACATGCATTTGGTGGCAACAAAGCGTCTTATGGTAAGAAGACCCAGCTTTCCATCATTGAGCAGAGAGAGAGTCTCCCAATCTTCAGACTGAAGGAGCAGCTGATACAAGTAAGACTTTTGAAATGGCATTCTTGTTTGAGCAAGCAATAATTTAAAATAAAGATTCCTGGTTTACCTTGTTGACACATGAATAGCCAGTTGATAGTTTCAAGTGCAGAACTGTAGTTCAGAATAACTTTACATGATCATATATATTTCTGTGTATTTTAGTAAAGCTCCAGATATTTATTGATGCAAGTAAAAATTGAAACTAGAGTTATGTTGGCAAGGGATGACTCAGCTAAATGGTTAAGTAGTTTACTAATTTGATCAGTAAGAACACTTGCATGATTCTTTGATCTGGGTCAGCTGGAGCAAGAGCAGCAAGTGCTCACCAGTCGTGGATGCACTGTGTTGATTTTTTTCTGTGTGTTTGGTTTGGGTTTTGTTTTCAAATTTTGACAAGTGTATCTGTTACGATGTTTTCTAGGCTGTGCATGACAACCAGATTCTGATTGTTATCGGAGAGACAGGATCTGGGAAGACCACGCAGATTACCCAATATCTGGCTGAAGCAGGGTATACATCAAGAGGGAAGATTGGATGTACTCAGCCTCGCAGAGTGGCTGCAATGTCTGTTGCGAAGAGGGTGTCAGAGGAATTTGGCTGCTGCTTGGGACAAGAGGTGAATTTCCATGCTGAAGAACATGCCAAAATAAACATAAAGAAAAGTGGGAAAACTCAGCACTGGAGCTAGTTTGCTTTTGTGTCCATGTGTCTTTTCCCTTGTAGGCTGTAAAATGAGCTTGCAGAATAATCAGACTGGGAATTAATAGTGCTAATAACTTAATTCTGTAGCTTCAGGTTTTGTGCAACTCTTCTTTCTAGGTTGGCTACACCATTCGATTTGAAGACTGCACTAGCCCCGAAACTGTTATCAAATACATGACAGATGGTATGTTACTGAGGGAGTGCTTGATAGACCCAGATCTGACCCAGTATGCCATTATCATGCTGGATGAAGCCCACGAAAGGACCATACATACAGATGTGCTCTTTGGACTCCTGAAGAAGGTAATGTAGCATTTGATTTTTATTGCTTCAGCATCCTCTGTATGCTACATACATAGGAGCCCATGGGCAAAGGCAAGGTTACACAAGTCAAGTGCATTTGTGTGCTCTGGGAGACACCTCTGAAGCAAAACAAATGCCTTTAAGGATTTGTAGTCCAAATTTTCATAAGGTGAGCCTTTGTGTGAAGACAAAACAAGCAAAATCCAGCAGAAACTGAGAATTGGCAGCCCAGGATGCTTATACTAATGGATGAGCAGTGGAGTGTTCTTGCTTTGTTCTTCCTTCTCTGACGAAGGCTTTCTGTGATAGGTGCTGCTAAGAGAGGTTTGAAGTGTGACCTTAGCAGTCATTTTTTTGAAATTCTGGATACTGCAATGAGCTGCCCCTCTACTCAGACATCAAAATGCCTCATAGTACTGGTCGTATTTCTCTGACTTAAGTGCCATGTGTTACTAGTCCCAAAGGCAATAAATGACTTGAACTTTCTGTTCTGCTATAGACAGTGCAGAAGCGGCAGGATATGAAGTTGATAGTGACGTCAGCAACGCTGGATGCTGTGAAATTCTCTCAGTATTTCTATGAAGCGCCAATCTTCACAATTCCTGGCAGAACATACCCAGTAGAAATTCTGTACACGAAAGAGCCAGAGACAGACTATTTGGATGCCAGTCTGATTACAGTAATGCAGATCCACTTAACAGAGCCACCAGGTGAGTGGAGAGTGATCTAGGGTGATCAGTGATTCAAGGACTCTCATACCTTTGAGCAAGTTTTTTCTGTAAGTCGTGGATCACGTATTAGTAGCATGAGCAAAACGCTCTGAGCACTACCCTCTGTTGGTTGCAAATACAGTAAATAAAATGCTGAAAAATTTGGGTGAAAGACTCGAGCACGTTGCTGTTGCCCTGGGGCTAGGAAAAGTTGGGGATTCTCTGCTTTAAATGGAAAAAGTGAAGAATGGAAATGTGGTAATGCAGGAGTTGTACTGAACAGAATTGATTCTGTGGATGTTTTCATCTACTTCCTGTGCAGGTGACATTTTGGTGTTTTTAACTGGTCAGGAAGAGATTGACACTGCCTGTGAAATCCTCTATGAGAGGATGAAATCTCTAGGACCTGATGTTCCAGAGTTAATTATCCTACCAGTATATTCAGCTTTACCCAGTGAAATGCAAACCAGGATCTTCGACCCAGCCCCACCAGGAAGCAGAAAGGTAATTTCAGCTGAGTATGTCTTCATCTTTTGCTGATACATTTTAATAGCAGGGTATGTTACACTGCTAATCACATGCCTTATGTTATGCCTATGTTGTTAGTTATGACTTCAGACAAAACTGTGTAGTTTTGGAGAAAAGGTGGCTTGTGTGTAGCTTACAGTGTGTTTTTGGTTACGTACGTGCCTATATGTGTTATCTAAACCTTTGAAAACGATGCAAAAACACCTGATGTAGCAGACTTGTGCATGGGTTGTTCTTGTTGTGTTTTTTAATGCTGCCTTTGAAGGATATTAACTTCAGTAAAATCTGTATGCAGTTCCTGTTTTATAGATGTACCTTTTCTACCAAATAGTGAATGAGTATCGAGAGATTTTCCCTGGAAAAGTCTTCTCTAAATATGGACTGTGTTTGAGCAATAGGCGGAAATTCTCTCTGATGTCAGTGCAGTCTGCTTACAAACTTATACTGATCTTTCACTTTTAATGATTTTAAATGTCTTTTCCAACCAAATGATTCTATGACTTTATTGTGCGCTTTTCACATATTGCCCAAATCTGAAACTTAAACTTTACTTAAAACCTGTCTATCTTTGATTGTAGATAACGCTTCTTTCTGTTCCTCTGGGAACACATTTCTCCTTTTGGTGTTAAACAATAGTAGGTGTGTTTATAACAAACTGCTCGTATCGTGTAGAATGGTTTGCTTAAGTTGAGCAGCAGGGTTTGCTTGGCAACTAGAGACCAAATTTGTACTAAATCAAGCTGTTGTTTGCAGGTTGTTATCGCCACTAACATTGCTGAGACATCTTTGACTATCGATGGAATATATTACGTAGTTGATCCTGGCTTTGTGAAGCAGAAAGTTTATAACTCGAAGACTGGAATTGACCAACTGGTTGTTACACCAATTTCACAGGTAGGCATTCTGTGTTGGACTATTTTGTCTTTCTTCCTGGTAACGTGTATCTTGATGTGGCATTCAAGCACCCAGAAGCAAAGTGAGGCAATGATAAAATCACATTTTTGATAACTCCCGGTCTCTTTGAGACTGTGCCTAAGGAATACATTCTTTCCTGGGTTGTATTGGAAACCTCTTTCTATTAATACAAGTAAAACTGTGAATAATGAATAGTTTTATTTTACTTGTGTTTACCTATGCCTGTTTGCACCTGTTCATTGAGATGCCTTGTGACTTTTAGGCTCAAGCAAAGCAGCGAGCAGGAAGGGCTGGGAGAACAGGACCAGGAAAATGCTATAGGTTATACACAGAGCGTGCTTATCGAGATGAGATGCTAACCACCAATGTGCCTGAAATCCAGAGAACAAATCTGGCCAGTACTGTACTTTCCCTGAAGGTGCGTATTTCGCCAACATGATCACAAGTGTTTCAATAAGTGAGTCTTGCTTTTGTGCCTCATTAAGTACTTCTGTAATTTCAGATCCTTGTAGTGAACAGAGGTATTTTGGAAGGGAAACTGCATCAAATACAATTCTCGGGCACTGAGCCTTGCTCCTGTGTTTTTCCCTTGAGGGTTATAATGTTGAATACCCACCTAAATGACAAGTGTCAGCTGCACAGAGTAGTTAGTTGCAGGAGGTTTGAGAAACAGCAATCTTACGGGCAATATGCATTTTCTATGTAAGGTACATTTATGTTAACAGATAAGACACTGTTTTAGATGCATGTGTTTGGAGATCAGAAAACATGCTAAGTGTATACCCTCCCTGTGGGAGTCCACAAACTGGATCTAACCCAGTATGTAGCAGCTGGGGATGTTGCTGTCTTTTCCCCCCTTTCTGAAAACAAGGGGGAGGGTGGAGACACATTTAGTGTCCATTTGAGCTGTCAGACCACACTGGTTTACAAGGCAGGAAGTCCTCAAACTCAGTATTTAGCATGTGTCTCCATGGTTGAATCATCTTGCTTGAGAGATGTATGGAGCAGTACCAAAGAAACAGAGTGGAAAACTGAATGGGGGATGAAAGCCATGGGCCAGTGTGGATTATCTCAAGTCTAGAAATACAGCCTTGTATTCCTGATTGTGGTTCCAGTCAGGATAAGGATGGGGCTAAGTTCTGTAGTGCATCATTGTTTGATGGTTATGTATCTCTCTCTGGAGCTTGGTGTCTTTCTTGTCAGTGTTTTAACTTGGGTTTTCTCCACTCCTTCTGTTCAGGCTATGGGCATCAATGATTTGCTCTCCTTTGACTTCATGGATGCTCCCCCAATGGAGACTCTCATAACTGCCATGGAGCAGCTGTACACCCTGGGAGCTCTGGATGATGAGGGACTGCTCACTCGGCTTGGGCGCAGGGTAGGCAAAATTAGAATGGTGCTGAGCACTGTCTGGGTTGCACATATTTAGGGGTGACATGAGAGTAGTTGTGTAAGCACTTGCCTAGCACTGTTGGTTTCCTTTTCCTTTTATTCTCTTGTGGTTTATTGGTGGCTTTTCACTTACCATAGTTACGTATCTTCTGTGTTTTAAGGAGCAGCTGTTATGTCTCCTTATTCAGAAAGTTTCCTTTTATTATAGTGTCTAAAAATTTCCTGTAAGTATCAGGATATTCTCGTGATAGTAAATATGGAGAAATATTTTGTTTCATGTTGGGTGAAGTTATTCTAGTCAAAGCCCTCTGCTTTGGAAAGGAGGCGTGGAAGAAAAGGTGTTGCTCTCTTACACCGAGAGAGTTTTCTGAAAGAGTTTTCTTGCAGATGGCAGAATTCCCCTTGGAGCCCATGTTGTGTAAGATGTTGATCATGTCTGTACATCTGGGATGCAGTGAGGAAATGCTGACCATAGTCTCCATGCTGTCTGTACAGAACGTGTTCTACAGGCCAAAGGTAAGAAATGCTGCCAAAAAGCAGCAGTGTTATAGTTTGGGTGTTCTTTGTGTGCCTGCCTCAGGTGTTAGAAGGTGGGTACACTTGCCAAAATAGACCTGTAGAGTCGTTACACTGTGCTCATACGTTCCATTTCTGAGGTACCTTGTGAGTAAACACCCTGTAGCTGTGATGTTGATAGTTTCTTTGCACATGTGAAGAGGTTAGAAGTCTCATATTCTCTTTCGCATTTCCCAGTAAACACATACAATCCTAAACCAAATCAGTCCTGGCTCTGGAGTTTGTAATGTCTTTGTCATTTTCAGATACACAAAATGTATTTCTTTCTGGCAATCCTGTCCTGTGCTAATTTCTTTTAACTCAGTGAGCAGCAGACGATGCTGTGGTAGGATTCCTCAACAGCAGTTTTGTCTTGAATCCGTTATTTCTTTATTATGATGGCCCGCTGCAGTTCATCTTTTCTGGTCAGGTCCTTATCACCCATGAGAGAGTCCTTAGGAGAGTCTGCATGAGGTCTCACTTTGGCAAGAGCAGTTCTAGGCTTTCCTTTCTTACAGGCATAGTTTTGGCTTAGTGAGCGCAGTCCCAGTGACCTTTGGATTCTCATTACTTGGCGCTTAGACACTCACCACTCAGAATTTTGTGTTGTCTTCTCAGTCATGTCATATCATCTGTTTCTTGGTAGACTTAAGAAGTCATGGTATGGGTGACACGGAGCCTGTGTCCTTCATGTTGTACAAGGATTGTCTCTCCAATGTAGATACCTGATTGAGACGTATTTTATGTGTTAGGATAAACAAGCACTTGCTGATCAGAAGAAAGCCAAGTTCCATCAGACAGAAGGTGACCACCTCACTCTGCTGGCTGTGTACAATTCCTGGAAGAATAATAAGTTTTCAAATCCCTGGTGCTATGAAAATTTTATCCAGGCCCGATCCCTACGCAGGGCGCAGGACATCCGCAAGCAGATGTTGGGCATTATGGACAGGTGAGCGTGTTGAGAAGTACAGGTAGTGACTGTTTTCTGTGTGTTCTTTACACTGGAGTAGCTAAACAAAATTTGCTAATTTGATGTTGGTAGCTGCACCCAAATCTAGAGAGCTCTTCTTTTTTCCCCCCTCCCCCCACCCTGCTCTTGTCTGCCAGGCACAAGCTGGATGTGGTATCCTGTGGGAAGGCAACAGTTCGAGTCCAGAAGGCCATCTGTAGTGGCTTCTTCCGAAACGCAGCAAAGAAGGATCCCCAGGAAGGTTATCGGACACTCATTGATCAACAAGTAGTCTATATCCACCCATCCAGTGCTCTCTTCAACAGGCAACCAGAATGGTAAGGAAGGCAGTACCATCTAATTTTGTATTTCAGTTCAGGCTTTTTAACTGAAAAGGTTGTGGTGTGCACTATTTGTGGAGCACAAATCAAAGTATAGGCTGCTGATTCCTGAGCAGTGAGCAGACTGAGAAGAGTTTTAAGTCTGCTTTTGGCTTTTTCTGCTGCTAAAATTAGTGCCCCAGCAGGGATGACACTTTTTGAGCCAAGGCCAAAGTTCTGTATTTCTGTGCTGTGGAATTGAGTTTAAAACACTGAGTGTTGGGATGGGAGGGAGAATTGTTTTAAATGGAATGAAGTAGTTTTGTGCTGAGGAGTAGTTGTAGTTGTGAAGTAGGAGAGGAAAAAGAAGATAGCTTTTCTGGATGTTTCTTTTGGAGCCTGTGTCGGTGCTTTTAAGGAGCGTTCTGCTGAAGAAGGGTGAGACGGAGATAAAGGGGCAAGCTTAGATACGTCAGCCCTTGCCCTGTCTCTTCCTGTTTAGAAAAAATAATTTCTAAGGCTGCTGTCCATTTTCACAGGGTGGTGTATCATGAACTGGTACTGACCACCAAGGAATATATGCGTGAAGTGACAACTATTGATCCTCGCTGGCTGGTGGAGTTTGCACCAGCTTTCTTCAAGGTTTCTGATCCAACCAAGCTGAGCAAACAGAAAAAGCAGCAACGGCTGGAGCCCCTGTACAACCGCTATGAGGAGCCCAACGCTTGGAGGATATCGCGTGCGTTCAGACGGCGGTGAGCCTGCTTCCCTCATGGACTCCTACTGGCTTTATATTCCTGGGACTGTGACCTTTGCACTGTTGCAAGTGTCCTGAAAGAAAGGACATTCAGTTGAAGCTTACCTACAAAATGAACAGAGAGTAAATATTTTCAGATCACGAGCATGGGGGGGCGATGTGTGCTCGTGTCAGCTGCTCCTGTTTCCACAGCTACATGACAGATATCCAGGGACTCCTCTGCGTGTTGCATCATTTCAGAAGTGGTTATTGAAGCACTTCTTTAATCATTCCCCTTCTAAGAGACGAAACCTAACACTTGGAAATCTGGGCACTCACCTGAACAACAAGAAAAAGATAATGATTAAAAAAGAGTTATTCACCAACCTGTGTTCTGAATGACCAGACAAATAGAGGCTGGAATAGTTTGTTTCTTCACCCTGCTAAAAGGGATTTCTTTCTGCTTATGGTCTGAGATAGTGGCTGGTTTAGGGGAGCTGCTTGTTCTCCATTTTCCCTGTTTTATGCATTTTCCTGTTCAGTGTAACTGTTTTTCATGCAGGCCATCTGTGGTGAGATATTTAGTATCTCTAGCTTTGGAATAACGCAGGAAAGATTCCTTAAACCCCAGCTAGATTGTCAGTTAGATTTGGACAGTGGCACGGGTCAGACTGCAAGTCTTGCCCTTCATCACCATCTCCTGTGTGCTGAAGGCTGGTGTATCCAACGGTGATGAACCACATCCTCTCTGTAGCACAGCTCTGAATGGAAGTGGTTGCAGATGTTTAGATTTCTATACAATGTGTCGTGTGTTTCATTTCCACTTACAATGTTTGGTGACATCACAACTGTTGGTTGGTTGGTTGGTTTTTTTAACAGAATGTGCTCTTACAGCTAACATGTCTGTAAAACGTTGTGCAGCAGTTCCTAGTTTAAAAAGAAACTACTCGGTGTGTGCTATGCTATGTGTAAATGATTTTTTCTGTTACAAACAAATGAAACATTTGACTCCATAGCTGCAGATACCAAATTTTGATTTTTAATATTTTAATTTCCCCCCCCCCAAAGCTGGGACACTGTTGAAATGACTGGGCTGAAGTTGGCTGGTTGGTTGAGACCCAGTGAGTTTGACGAATGTTTCACACAGCAAAGGAGCTATATTGGAAATGTGTATCTATGGACAAAGGTGGGCAGGGATGTTGTGTATACTGTTTTATTATCTTGTGTAACTCCTCATGTTGTTACATCTTCATAAAGTTAAATAGAATTAGAAAGTTTGTAAGTTTGGAGGCTTTTTTACTAACGGCATTAGACAGAGAAGGCTGTGCTATTGAACTCTCTTCCAAGCATATCCTGCCACGAATTCTCTCTACAGCTGCATCTGTTACTGTTTTCTATGAAAATTTGCACTTGACTTTCAAAAGTCAAATGAAAGATGTAAAGGAGAAAATGTCCACAGTGGAAGTCCCATTTGTACAGCGTACTTTGAGGTCTTTCTGTTCCAATTTAATGTGTTGTATTTGCTTCTCCAGTGTAGCCTCTTTCTGACTTACAGCAAGAGGAAATGTATTTTCTTTTATTTTATTTAAAGTGAAGAGTTGTCATCCACTTTGTGTCCGTTGTTTCTTTCCGTGCTGTAATTTTTTCAGTAATATCCTGTAGTTCATTTATAGAAACTTTTCCGTGTTGACTTCAGCTGCTTGCTTTGGGAACACCCCACATCCAAAACCAGCCAGTGAAACAAGAGCGCTGGCTTCCAGACTTGAACCACTTACACATTTTTTTAAAGCCAGTTTTATTTACTGGCTCTGAGGTTACTGAGTGTAACATCTTAATGTCTTCTACTGCTTATCTACGATGTGTAAAAACTGGAAAATAAGTTGCTTGATCCCAGGATGAAGCTGGACTGAATGCGTTATTCTGATAGCATGTACGTAACTGAACAGGTATGTTAGCCTCTTGCTGGGGAAAGTGTTCCCTGAGCTCTCGTGTGAACACTTGCCAACCTGCCTTTGCCTAAAGCAAGTGTGTTCTTTTTAATGGTATAAATTGTAGATCTCCTGGTTCATTTTGACTATACTGAGTTAATGCACTAGAACTGGTAACACAAACTTCTTACCTGAAGGCAGAACTTCTGCCAGCAGAGGCCATGTGTCTCGCCTGGAATGGTTCTGGAGGTGTTATGTTAGCATAACTGCGAAGAATTTCCTGAGTGGTGTGTGTGTGTGTGTGTTCAACCTCTGCATGCACCCCTTTGTCAGTACGTGGCCTCCTTGCCTTCAGCAGGGCTTGTGCTGCAGGCTGTGCTGGCGTCGGGTACAAGTTTCTATAAATGTGCCCTTAATGCAAGAAAGAGAAATATGATTTGTGCAGCCACCCCCACGTGTACCTCATCTGTTATAGGAACTACCTTAAGCTCATTAATGGGCTTGTTACCAGAGCCAGTGTGACAGCAATGTGCTGCTCACACAATGGGGGTTTTGTTTTTAAGTCAGTTGGTTTTCATGAGGTTTCTGTGACAGTTGCAGAAGGCTGTGGTACTGACCCATTAGCAGTTTAGTGGAATTTTTCATTTATGAATGTATTGTTCTTTCAAGCCAGCTGGGAATATAGTGACCGAGTATCTGATTTTAGCAAATGTGTTTTGTATGTGTTTGTCCTGCAACCTACATAAATCTTCTGTCTGGTCTGTCCTTACTCTGGAGGTGGAGGAGTGGGGCTGCACTGATCTGGATATGCTGGTTTATTTGGATCAGAAATGATTCTGTAGTTCTTGTGGGTAGTCAGCCTGTGGGTCTGCCCAAACACTGCTCTGCTCCGCAGGCTATGCTGAAAGCAGTGCATTTTTGTTAAGCGTAGAAAAGTCTCCTGTTTGAGTTCAGTATTAGTTCACTTGTGCTAGAAAAGGGCAAGGAGGTGGAAGCGAACTGGATCACACTCTGTCAGTGGCAGACCCCGGCTGTTTTGGAATATGCACGTTCGTTTTTACCATTTAGCTCTGTCACAGTGTCTGAAGAGCGCTTTGGTGCAAATCCAGCTTAGGATTTGTTCCTGGCAGATCTCATCCTGGTGCTCTTCTCAGCACGGCTAGGAACGATGCATCACCCCTTCTGACCTGCCTCAGGCCCTGGGCACGCTCGAGGCTTTGCTCGATGACACCCCAAGGTGACGCCGGCTGTGTTGTGTACAGCCTGAAAAAGCTGAGTGCACTTTCTGATAACTCTCTTGCCTTCTTGTTCAGTGCTTAACCCGTAAAGTAGGCTTTGCTGCTGTCCTTGTTCTTCATTATCACTATTCGTACTTACTTCAGGGCACGGAATCTGGTAATAGAAGTATTTCCTGGGTTAGCCTCAGCAAATTGCATCAGATAGCTCAGTTCTGCTTGGCAACCTGTTAATACTTGGAGTAATTCCTTTGCCCTAGACAACACACTCTAAGGGTACATCTGGGATGTGCTGTAATGTTACGTGTGAATTATTTACTATGACTTGAAAGGAACTTTGCATTGTGTTCTGGGTAATAGATTTATGGTGCTTCCTGCTGGGCTTTGTAGTGTTGGTTTAGCAGGACTAACAACAAAGCCATTGCAACAATAGCAACCACATGGAAAAAAACCTAGACTCTAGAAAACAAATTACATTGGGAAGAAGAAATAACTGCGGAGGATTTATTTTTGGCTGGTCCCGAAGCATCATCACATACGGAGGAATAAGCTGCTAGAATAAAGCTTGCATATAATGAGTAAACAATAGTAAAAAATGTTAGGTATATATTTGCATCCAGATGTCAGAGTGAGTGTTTGTCATGACCAGCACTCTGTCTTTAGAGGGTTTTCCATGAAGAATTATATCTTTCTTTCTTTTCTTACCTGCCTAATGTAGAGAAAAGCTCAGGTGTGAATTTGTGTGGTGAAGGTGTCCTGAACTGAAGGTGTGTTACTCTGGAGGCATGTGCTGTTGTGCAGTAACGTGTTCTTGAGTGCCAGAAGCATTCAGCTCGGTAAAAGGCAGCTGTGTGAACAGGAATGTGAGTGACAGCAAAGCTGAAACCTCTGTATGGTGGGATGGAGCTGATGCTTTCAGAACTAGCGTGAGAAACTTATGATG